AGAGAGTTATTTCATTGGTATGGTGGTCAGTTAAGGCCATTTCGCGTTTTCGTGATTTCGCTTTTCAACATATTCTAAAGAGTGAAAACGCGAAATCAAACATGTAAAAACGCTAAAACGCAAAGTCGAAAACACGAAAACGCGAAAACGCAAAAACGTAAAAATCGGTAAGTGAAACCATTCGCGTTTTCGACTTTGTGTTTTTGCGCGTTTTCGTGTTTTCAAATTTCTGTTTTCGAGTTTTTGACTTCGCATTTTCGCATTTTCGACTTTGCATTTTCGCATTTTCGACTTCGCAATTACGAAAAACAAATACCAAAGACAACCATTGAACTACAGACTCCTGACTTGGGACAGGCACATAGAGTATATGATGGGTTAAACATGTTGGTGAGAGCTCAACCCTCCCCTAACCCGAGACAGTGTTGTAACAGCACAACATAAGAACAATCTAGAAATATCAGTTGAAAAGAATTAACACAACAGATCGATACAATGCAGAAAAGCATCAATTAAAAACACAGCTCAGACGCGGGAGGGTGTTTATCCATCCCTCATCCCTAACAACAAATAGACACTCAGATCTGATAGTACTCACAGTTACTTACATCAAGTTCAAAGCCAATAACAACTAATAAAAAGCTCATTTATCTAAGACTTAAATATCAATTAGGTCACATCCAAATTCCAATGGATTTAGTGTAAAGACGTCATTAACATGACCTTATGCAATGCCAGAATATAGGTATCGACAGATTGTAGTACCGTGAAAGTACATATGTCGCAGTATGAAAGCCTACGGAAGCCGGTTCTGTCAAGGTGGAGTTTTAATTTTAATTCGTTATAACGACTTAGCAAACTTGTTATAACGACTAAGCTTATCTAACTCGTTATAATTACTTAACAATTCGTTGTAACGACTTAGCTAACTCGTTTTAACAACACCGCTAACTCGTTTAAACAACTAAGATAACTCGTTTAAACGACTTAGCTTACTCGATTAAACAACTTAACTAACTCGTTAAAACGACTTAGCTAACTCGCTATAAAAACTTGTTGTGTTAATATGTCTTTTGATTCAGTTAAGTGATGTTACACTATTGTATTGATTCAGATAAGGGTGAAGGTTTAATACCATTAAAACGTTTAAACCCGCTGCAATACTTTGCACCTGTCCTAAGTCAGGAATCTGATGTTCAGTAGTTGTCGTTTGTTGATGTGGTTCATAAGTGTTTCTCGTTTCTCGTTTTTTATGTAGATTAGATCGTTGGTTTTCCCGTTTGAATGGTTTTACACTAGTAATTTTTGGGGCCCTTTATAGCTTACTTTTCGATGTGCTCCAAGGCTCCGTGTTGAAGACCGTACTTTAACCTATAATGGTTTACTTTTATAAATTGTGACTTGGATGGAGAGTTGTCTCATTGGCACTCATACCACATCTTCTTAATAATATATCTATTAGCTACTTTCCTGGACTTAACTATAACCCCTAATGTATCGGTCTTGATTTATTTCGATTGTCTTCTTATTTATAGATTTTTAAATGTCGACTATAATTGCACATTAATTAGAAATAGAGATTGAAATGATGAAGACATAGTCTTTCAATCAGTTTAATTGAAGTCTGGAGCTGGCATGTTAGTAACTTCTAGTAGTCCTTTATTAATTTATGTATTATTGTCATTTTGCTTAGTTTCTTTTGTTACCTATTATGACATCGGACTCGGATTTTTTTTTTAAATGAGATTAACTGTATGTATTGATGTGTGTTTGTTTTTTCTACATTGGCTAGAGGTATAGGGGGAGGGTTGAAATCTCACAAAACATGTTTAACCCCGCCGCATTTTTGCGCCTGTTCCAAGTCAGAAGTCTCCGGCCTTTGTTAGTCTTGTATGATTTTGAATTTTAGTTTATTTGTATGTTTTGAATTTAATATGGCCTCCATTATCACTAAACTAGTACACATTTTTGTTTAAGGGCCATCTGAAGCACGCCTTCGGGTGCGGGATTTACTCGTTTTGTTGAAGACCCATTGGTGGACTTCGGTTGTTTTTGCACTTTGGTCGGGTTGTTGTCTCTTTGACACATTCCCCATTTCCATTTTCAATTTTATTGAAAGATTTAAAACTGCAAAAAAAGAAATTGAAGATGGTATACATTTTTTACTTAAATGTCTTTAATACATCGAAGATTGCAAGTCTTTTCTAATTAATGTAGAACTAAATAAGGGTGTAAAATTAAAAGACATTCACTGACAAATCTAAATTTTTAAATTTGTCTTGATGTATTATTCAAATGGAATAGTTAAATCACAGAAGTCCATTTTTAGTTTTTCATTACTCGGAAATATTTGTGGATCTATACAAGTGTGTTTTTGTTGAACAATCTACTGAGCTTCAGAATTATACCACAATTGTCGTGATTACGAAATGTGTTAAGTTTTTAAGTTCAATTTCGATTAGCGGAAGTCGAATTTATATTATAAACGCGATTTTTTAAGCAGGTGAATATTCGAAGTGTCATGCACAGAGAGTTTTGTAGTTATTTTACCGTTTTTTTTTTAAATCATTATTATCATAGTTTAAGAGAAGATAAATAAAAGAGGCCGAAAGACAAAGCCTTTGAATTTGGATCATAATAACGGGATGAGTACTAGGTAGTGCAGTCAAAGAATTCTAAAATAAATTGAACACAGTTATTTCGTATCTAGCAATTCTTTTTTTGGACAATAAATTCAAATAGAAAAAAATTCGCCCCTGCTCTATCTATATGTTCGTTGTATTTTAGCACCCCAGTTTTTTTTTCTATTCTGTATATATGTTAGTACCCTATTATTTATTCTCTATTCTTTAAATTTTAGCATCACATTATTCTCTATTTTTACTCTTTTTTTTCTGTTTATTTTTAGTCCATTCTGTAGTCTTTTTCCATTATTCTCTCTCAACACCCTACCCAAACCTTCATTCATGTATATGACAGGCATCACGATTTGTCTAGTTATATAAAAAAATTCAGAACGAAATTTACATTTTAGTCTTTTTGTTTTAGTTTACATATTATTCTCTATTTTTATCCTATTATTTTTATTCCTTTTTTTTGTGTCTTTTCTGTGGTCTTTGTCTATGATTCTCTACTGTATAAACTCCACCCAAAACTTCATTATGCATATGACGCTACAGGCATCATTATTAGTAAAGTTTATATAAAAATATATTTAAAACAAAATTTATATCTTAGTCTTTTTAGCTTATAGTTTACATAATATTTAAACTATCGAGCCAATGAAAAATACTTACATTTTCTAAATATTAATTCATATAAATTCTGACAAAAACAATTTGAATAAGTTTAAAATGAGAAGAAAAGAGATGTATATTAAATCTTTTTGTGAAAAATACATTTGTGGATATATTTGTAATTTCAAAATGGTTGTGGGAGCACACATCGCGTTTAGTTATTCTCTGAAAACTTAAGATACTGTGCGAAGGGAGGCAAATCAAATTTTACCAAAAAGGTGCCGTATCGCCAGCTGATGGTGCAAAATCAGCAGGTGCCGTATCAGCAGGTGAGTGATTTAGACCTTACTGAAATCCATCAACGCCTTTACAAACAAATAAGTTAGGATCCTTCTTGAAATAGTCATTAGAACTGAGGGCAGGGGACTCTTAACAGCTTGTTTGTTTTTATAAATTTTGATGCTGTTTTTATTGTGTTTGTTTAATATGTATGTATATATGTTTCGCTAATTCTTCGTCAATTTATCCCTTTCTGCACCCATTGTATAAAACAAATTTAATCAACGTGTGGTTCGTTTGATCTCAGTTCTTCATTGGTTAAAATCCGATTATGACGTCGAATTTTCTTGTTTTCTTCTGAATTTCCTATTGTGACGGCATGAAAAAAGGCGACCATGCCTGATGACGTCACATAGAAAGAACACATCTTTTTGCAGATCACTCAAAAAGAAGGAATAAGTTTGCCTGCATATTGTTTGAAAATCATTAGAGAAACAGATTCCACCACCAAATCTCGTGTAATACGATATTTATCCACTCTCGACAGTTAAATTTTAAATATTTAAAACGCTCGGCGAGCCTCGCGTTTTAAATTTGAAAATTTAACTGTCTCGAGTCGATAAATATCGTATCACACTCGATGCAGTGGTAGAATCTATATTTCTCTAATTCTTCGTCAATTTATCCCTTTCTGCACCCATTGTATAAAACAAATTTAATCAACGTGTGGTTCGTTTGATCTCAGTTCTTCATTGGTTAAAATCCGATTATGACGTCGAATTTTCTTGCTTTCCTCTGAATTTCCTATTGTGACGGCATGAAAAAAGGCGACCATGCCTGATGACGTCACATAGAAAGAACACATCTTTTTGCAGGTCATTCGAAAAGAAGGAATAAATTTGCCTGCGTATTGTTTGAAAATCATTAGAGAAACAGATTCTACCACCAAATCTCGTTTAATACGATATTTATCCACTCTCGACAGTTAAATTTTAAATATTTAAAACGCTCGGCGAGCCTCGCGTTTTAAATTTGAAAATTTAACTGTCTCGAGTGGATAAATATCGTATCACACTCGATGCAGTGGTACAATCTATATTTATTGTGTTAATATATGTTGGTCAGTCACTCACAAACTGTAAAGTTTATACGACAATAAAATATTTGATTTGATTTGAAAAAATTTATAATATGCAAATCTGTTCTGGATGACTGAAATCACGTTTCCAATTTCATCAACTATTCAACTAAACGGTAAGCTTTCAGTATTTAGAAAAACTATTACTATATTTCATTGACTAACATTAAAATTTGGTTAGTACAAAACTCATGGTACTTTGTATTTTAAGCGGGCAATATTACCTCCCCTATATCCAACCGGAAGTGACAATTTGGAAAGATCATCCGATCAAGTTATTCTACGAAAAAAGACACGTTGTGCCGGTAAACACTCTTAATTGACTGAATGAAAAGGTAAACAATGAATTATGACCGCAAAAGCCTGCGCCACAGTTACGAGAAACTGTCTATTAAGCAGCTTAAACAAAAACTAAAAGCAAAAAGCCAGAGAACGAAAGGCCACAAACGGGATTTGGTAAGATGGAATCCAACTTGTTGTTGACTGTTGTGCTTTATTATATAAATAGCTGTGTTTACAAACACTAAATACTCTGTTGTTTGAACATCAGTCATGCACGTTTATCGTCGTTGTTGATTTTTGATTTCAATCTTTATGTGATGGAGAAAGTGCACACACAGACGCAACTGTTTCTCCCCTTTATGGAACTATATTTATGTTAGATGGTTAATGCACAGACTTTTTACAAGTCCCGCTCGGAAATTTGTCTTGGTGGCTCCTCTTTTTCAAAATCCTGGATCCACACTGGACTGAAGTTATGCACAAATTATGAAATGTAGTTTCCAAAAATTCTCACCTGTTTGTACATGTCATACATGTATGCACAAATGAACTGTGAAGGAAATTGGTTTATATTGATAGAGCAGTTCATTCAAGTATTTATGTCTTTCATTTTGTCAATTTGCTGACTAGTATCACTGGTCATTTTAATAGGTCCTTATTTTTATACAGTATGATTGACAACTGCCATATTCATGTCGGATCAACAAACAATTAGAATCGAGGTGAGGCTTTGATTGGATATCAACCTCCTCTTAAATGCTTACCATATTGACCAAAGTATACCTCTTTATAGTCCTACATATTTTAGCTGACACTTTATGATGCAACTCGGTACACAACCCAAACCTCAATGTTAGATATGCAGTCAAACCTGCCTTTAATAGCCACTTTCAGACTGAGTCAAACATTTCTATATATAATTTAACTCTTTGCAGGGGTCAACTGCAGAACACAGTCAGCAGTCACCTATTTTTTGCACAAAAATCATCATCGTCAACTTTTAACAACGGTCATATGAATGATTTTAACTTCCCATATAATCATGACGAAAAAATGTTCAGTTCTCAAAAGTCAAAATGAGAATCAGAACCAGTTTGCAAATGAGATTGCATAATAGAAGGATAATTTGTGAATTCCTTGCAAAACTAAAGAAATTGTTGAGAATTATGGAACACACTGTAACAGTGTTATTGAGTCATAGATAGATCTTTTTATCCACTAAAAAGGCTAAAAAGCTTATATTTGTAAAGAACTGCATATTACATTCACAATGATTCAGCTGTCTTCAAAAGTGCTATAATATTTAGGTTTGTTTTGTCCACATCATTCCTAAATATGATTGAAATTAATCAAAGTAATCATACAATCTTTCTACCAGAGGTTTCATATACTTTTATTTGTATTTGGAGTAAAAGGTATGTCCGTTAGATTTATTAATGAAATGTCTCTAATTAAACAGATAAAATCATGTAAATTTATATTGCATTCTGATTAACGATTTTTTCAGTAAATGTCTGTACTGCAATCAAGGTCCTAAAAAGCCTAATATTATACTCTCATGCTTCTAAATGCAAGATACTCCTTCATGTCTGCTACTCACCTTAGATGGATAGGAATCATTATGTTTGAGTAGAACATATAATTCCCCTATTTCACACTGTTTTCTGACTTGTCTACACCTGTTGCATTGATGTTGTAAACTTATTGGAGATTTCATGAAACTCATACATGTAGGTACAGTACATTATTAAGCTTTATTTAATCATTCATGTGTGTGCATGGTTTGTTGTCATGAATCTGGTACAGTATTGTAATATAAGTCAACATACACCTGTTATGTCTGTATAGACTTCTTGCCAGTATACATGGTAAACTAGACATTGTATAGCAAAATTTGATTTTTTGAAGGAAAAAAAAGAGGAGAGAGAGAGAGAAATGAATTTAATTTTCAAAAAATAGATATGTTTATCTATAGAGAAATTCTTCAAAAAATGTATGCAAACTAACTGCATGCAAATATTCTCTTGAAAATATTTGAATATTTTATGATTAAGGTTAGGATAATTATATAAGTATTTGACAGTCTTAGCAGTTGTATGATAACTTCTTGCTTGTATATTTTTGTGTGTTATTTTATCAAAATTGGTTTTTATTTATACATATAGTTTACATGTAGATTCTATATTATTAACATATAATAAAATTTCATCTGATCTAGCATGGCTTGAATTGAACAATTTTAACAGTTTGAATTGACACATTAGCTAATGGTTATTCTGTATTACCATACTTACCAAGAAATGAATTTTATTTTTGTACAAAACAATGTAGATATGTAGGTTATGCCTGATCAAGTAAAGTTAATTAAACAATACATGCTTTAATTGAAATGGCTTAACAATTACTGTGGATTCAATATTATTTGTGGAATTTTAATTTTCATGGATTATGTTGGTATATATATATATATGTCACCCAGAAATTGAAGCGTGTTTAATCAAATACAAATTGTCTGTAGTCTTATAGGAAAATATTGATGCAAACATGTACATTATCCTCTGAAGCTTGTATAACCAAATACAAATTGCCTGTAGTCTTGTAAGAAAATTTTGATGCAAACACGTAATCCTCGATCCATTAGAATTGGTTCCTTTGAAAACTAATGAAGCCACAGTACATATTCAGGGTTTCCCCCAGTATTTTCAAATAGCTCTAAAATTAAACATGTTAAAGCACCCCATTTAGTAGATTACTGATAATGGCATGCAAATTATTCATTTAAACTTAGTACTTCAAAGAATAACATTTTATATAGGGATGATACATTACTTCCTTTTCTGTTTGAATGGGAATAATTTAATTTTGAATTGATTTGAATTAAAGTATATCTTATTTCTTTGACTGTTATGATGATTAAATTGTCAATGCTTTTTTTTATGTAACACTTTTTATCCTGTATAACTTTTGTTTGCAATGTAGATAATTTTTTTGTAGATAGAAAGGCTTATAGACGCCAGTTTAAGTGAAATGGACAAAAAGGGGGACAGGAAATCTCCCTCAGAAAACACGAACCTTAAACAAAGACATTCTCATTCAACTAACGGCGATGTCAATGATAAGTCAAATCTACTAGACATTATGCATCAAGAAAGACAAGAACGAGAAAAAATCGTCCTTTGGAGAAAACCATTAAAGACTATACACTTTTCTTGTCTGGAGACAGCCTCACTACTGAATCAAGCTGGCAAAAAGTATGTATTATTGTACAGACCCATACACACCTAACAGGCCTCGGCGGCCAAGTGGTCTGAGTAGTCCAAATACTGCATCACTAGCCTGTGAACACTCGGGTTGTGAGTTCAAACCCCACACATGGCAGTTGTGCTCCATTTCCAATCTTTATTGACTAGGATTGTCATTTTTCCTGCCGAAGGTGGGTGGTTTTCTATGGGTACTCTGGCTTCCTTTACTAATAAAAACTGACAGCTACAAAATAGCCAATGCGGCAATGGTGCTGAAAGTGGCGTTAGACACCAACCAATCAATCATTCAATCATACAGTTATTATATACCCATTATTGGGAGTAGCAGACACAAAAAGATATTACCAATCAGTCTAAATTTGTCAATGTGTCAAAAACTTTTTTGTCTCCTGAATAGACTTTAATTTTCTAAATTCAATTCCTATAAATCTTAATAAGCTTTATTCTTACATTATCATTACAGTATACCCATAATTGACAATGTTATGGTAGTCTTACCACTCTATATAAAGATTTTATTTCCAAGTGCCACTTAGTTGTTGGTCTCTTCTTGGCAGCAGTTCACCACAACCAATAGGATTTGGTGTTCCGCAATTAGGAAAATCATACACTGAATGGTAACCTCTAAATAACAGGCAGACAATACCAAAGGGAGAATCACAACTCATATGTTGATGAGAGACAGACAAAATCATGGGGAAAAAAAAAGGGACGAAAAGTCTTAACAACAAAACAATACATAAAAGACTAGACTGATAAACACGAAAAATATGTGAGAAACCATTTTAAGGAATAGATCACAAAGTAAAAACATATTTAAAGAACAAATGAAATAACATAGGTATCGTATTGCATTATATTACTTCCTTTAAAGACCTTCCATCTTTTCGTCCATCTGTCTTTCCATCCATCTGTCTTTCTGTCCATCCCTCCCATTTTCGTTTGTTTGAAGCTTGAGTGGGGGCATTCATGTCCTCAGACACATTCTTCTTTTATTTTTAAATGTCTTTATTAACTTGAATATTATTCGTTGTTGCAATGGTCATGACAATGCATGATAGTTAATTTGTCATTCCCATGGCATAAACATAAAATTCAACTTTGAAAAATTTCCCTTTGTTCTTCATTTAGTCATGAAGTTTAGCCCGTGGAGGAAACAAGTAGAAATTCCTAAAATTTTAACTGCTGTAATAAACTGTCGTTAGCAAACACTCACAATTTTATTATGTCATATCCCTTCTGGAATTAAATGAGATAGTGTTTACACATGAATGATTTTTTCAATCAGAACCAAAAATTTAGTAATGGCTCCTATAGATACAATGTACTAGTATGCATACCAAATTAAACAAGACCTTTTTAAAACTAATCCTCTTCATGTAGAGCTGGTGGTTGACATTTAAACCCCCCAGTCTATGACTCATATTTAATTATTTGAGTATAACATATGTGGCTGCTAATAATACTGTCTCGCTGCGTTGAAGACCCATTGGTGGCCTTCGGCTGTTATCTGCTCTTTGGTCGGGTTGTTGTCTCTTTGACATATTCCCCATTTCCATTCTCAATTTTATGTTTACATTGATAGGTTATTGAGACGGAAGATCACTGTGGTGACGTCATTGTTGATGCTTTTATCGCTTTATCTCATCTACATTACTCAGGGAACACATCAGCCAGTAAGTTACTTCTAAAATAAAAATCGTTGTGTTATTAAATGGATAAACCTACAGAAAAGGTCTGGTTTGTTGTTTATATATTATCAATGTTCTTCAAATGAGAGGGAGTTTCCTAGCTTCATCTCATCGAAGGGCGAAAGTCCTGAGATAAGATGTAGCCTAGTTTCATCCTCGTGTTTGAAAGACCATTGATAACCTGTTCATCCCTATTTTCCTAGACAATGTCAATTTTGTAGACTTATTACATCATACATTTTCTTTCTATTCGACTTAGAAAATCCCATTTTACTCAAGTAGCTTGATATGGAAAATTTTCACAAAAAAAACAGATCAAAGGAAGATTTGAGAAAATAGCGATAATTACATGAATTATGTATATATCATGAAAGTTGACTAAGTTCAACTATGAGTAAGAAAATCTTACATGTACCTACAAAGAAGATTTATAAGGCCTAAACTAATACATAGCAATACATTTGTGCAATGTACTATTGATTCATCCTATCAGGATTGGATTTAAAAAAAGTACTTGAAGATCTGACTAATGATTTGTATAATATTTTTTTTATTTTTAATTTCATAAATTAAATGGTAAGCTTAAAAGAAATATTTAATTTAAATAGAAGAAAGCGTAAATATTTATAACCAATGATACTACATGTATGTCGCTATTTTTTAGTATGTTGAAGTAATAGAGAAATATGTATTATGGTGTGCATATTGGTTAGGTCTTGGTGTACTATCATCTGTAGGTCTGGGAACAGGATTACATACATTTCTACTATATCTGGTGAGTACATCTTGGTGTATTATCATCTGTAGGTCTGGGAACAGAATTACATACATTTCTACTTTATCTGTTGAGTGCATCTTGGTGTATAAACATAAGTTTGTCATGAAACATGATTACATTATTTGTTTGAGTATTTGGTGAATAGGTCCTGATGTATTATCACTAGCAAGTTTGTGAACAGGATTACAAACAGTTCTGGTATATTTTGTGAGTACATCTTATTACATTATCACAAGTAAATCTCTAAACAGGATTACACACAGTTTTGGTTTGTTTTGTGAGTACATCTTGTTACATTATCACTAGTAAGTATGTGAACAGGATTACAAACAGTTCTGGTGTGTTTTGTGAGTACATCTTGTTACATCATCACCAGTAAGTATGTGAACAGGATTACACAGTTTGGTTTGTTTTGTGAGTACATCTTGGTGCATAACTGTTAGGTTTCAGAACAGGATTACACACATTTCTGGTGAGTTTTGTGAGAATATCTTGGTGTATCACTGTTCAGGGATCTCCTTAACTTGTTTTACAATGGCGCACCGCAATCATTAAAATATCTTCCGCCATCGTCAAATGATCCTCGCCATAGTTAAATTATCTTCCGCCATCATCAAATGATCCCCACAATTGTCAAAATTTGTTTTCGTTTTGCTTGCCGACGCCATTTTTGTTCGCAATTATAATCAATTGCATGTAATTGCATAACCCTTAGGCTTTTTATATCATAATTCAAAGGGTCCTCCTGATTACAGTTTTAAAGCCCTGTGGGATAACCGGCTAAATATCGCTAATCATTTGTAGAGTTACAGCGACACACCTTTCGGGAGATCACTTGATCAAGATAGACGATTGATTGCATTATTTAATTACGTTTCAGCAAATGCTAATGAAAATTAGATTAAAAAATAAATTTTAAATCCAGTTACAAAGAAAAAAGTTTAGCAAGTCGAACACATGCTTTTATATTGACTTACGCAATCAGCATCCCCCTTTTTAAACCAGTACGAAATAAGACGCAAAACAGAACATAATTTCATGCCAAATACAGCAATAATTGATAATATTGAATCACTTTACAAGTTTAAAAGTAAATACATGAATATTAACTGCAACTTGATAATCTGAAGAAATTTCATATAGTAATTCGGAATTCATTTCGTAGGGCTTAAATTAATATTGTTTGTTTGCAGTTTACCGACCGACCTTCGAAAATGCGCCCGACTGTGAACATTTTATTGCTTTTAATTTGAAGAAATTATTTTTAATACTTCTATTGACTCGAACCGGAATTTTGGGTCGTTTTCGGAATTGATTTCGAGTCTAGGTCAATTACATGTTTGAAGTTTGGTTTTTCTTCCCTTCCTGTCAAGCGTTCATCGGACCCTTTAATAGTAAAGCACATGGAAATTGTTTACAGGTATCCACGAAGTCATGGAGGAGTACTTTATTCTGTCGTCTTCTGTCAATTTTAAGACAAATAATACACAGAAAAGTTTCATAGTAAACTGTTTATACTGATTCAGGCAGAATTGCACACGGAATGATGTCTTCGATGATATCATTGACGATGATTCAGCAGATATTCATAAAACCGACATGATAACAGTTTCTGTCTCAAACAAATCGGATACAGAATCTTTTGAGACTGACTTTATGGAACCAATATCAGTGGTACAACAATTTGACAGCAGCCTGAAGTATGCCATATTTTCTTTAAATCGTCGTGAAGACGACAAAGATGAAACCACTCCTCCGTGACTTCATGGATACCTGTAAACATGCATTTGAAATGTTAAATCAATAAGAAGCCACACAAACTACACAAAGATGTAGAGAAAATGAATGGTTGGCTTGAGAAATAAATATATTATCTCTGTATCAAATCTATCTTCGATTGCATTATGAGTATGCTCCTTTAGGATAAGGGGGGGGGGGGGGGGGGGCGTCCCACTCATTGCAATTATTCTCTCTCTTACAATATTAAATATACCCAAACTGTGTGGCCTGTGTGAATTGAATTGAAATGTGTCCTTAGCTAGGAGCTATGCTGCCAATTTTTTTATGCAGTCAAAACATTTCAGTACAGACCATTTACTTTTAATGGGGTGCTATGGATTTCACCCAAAGCTAGTCTTAAGATTTTTGTTTGTTTTAATTAAAGCCTGGCATCAACATATCTTTCCAAATATAACCTTTATAACAGTCAGATGTCTAATCTATTTTTTTCAAGTTGTCTTTTTTTTTTTCAAATGAGGAAGATTCAATGGTTGATTTTTTTTTTAACACACTGACCTAAATTGTCTTTTGAATCTTTAATATCTACATTTTTCTAATGAAAATACTCTACTCATGAAAACATTCTAGTAAAGCTGCATATATGTCAGTGAATATGTTTCTTTACAACAATTCTAGTCATTCCTTGTTTATAAGTGTTCCAGTATTTCATTATACCTTAAATTTATGTCATAAATTGTATAATGACACTATGTTAAGTTTCAGTTTTGGTTAAATAGGTGTTTACCTGAAAATGCCTGTTCATTTCATGTTGGTTTTCAGTGTTTGTTGTTTTAAAATGTTTTTTCTTCACAAGAAACTTTGTTGTTAAACTGCTTGTTTAAACTTTATTCTGGCTGATAAAATAAAATATTTTTCCTACCAACCGACCCTGCAGTCTGAATGTACAGTCGGAAAACTGCAAACAAACATATTTTTAAGGTTGGCCTAGTTTACTATCAAATTGATACATCCGGTTTGAATTCAGAATCGACAGATGCTGCAAATCTTTGATACCGGTTCATGACTTCTGAATTTGACAGTGATAAAAGATCCCCCCGATTTTTAAGCCCTCAACAATTACCAAAATAGCAAGACAACGACATGGGAATCTTAAGGACAGCTTGTGTTAATTCTTGACCAAGGGGGAGCCATGTAGACTTGGCATTTTAATTGGTTATTCTATAATGAAATAGATATAGTAAGCAATATATCAGTCTGTTCACCATTCCTTACATGGAAATGGAGGAATGAAATACTTTCGATCATGCCATGCCATAGAGGCAGGGTTTCGTCATGGTGAACGTTCCCCCATCGTTAAGATTTCATCCATGGAGATCCCTGACTGTTTTCCGGAAGGTTTCAGGTGGAATAACCCACATTTCTGGTGTTTGTTGTGAGTACATGTTGGTATATTATGATTAGGTAACATAACAAGATTACATATCTTGGTGTATTCTATCAAATTGCACACATTTCTGGTGTATCAGGTTGGTACATCTGTGCTTAGGTTTCAGAATTACATTGTATATCTTATTTATATGATGAATATGTCTGGGTATATCTGGGAAGAAGGTTTCTGAACAGTTTTACACACATTTTTTAGTGTCTCAAGAAAGTAAATCTTAGGTGTATCACCATACAAAGGTTTCAGGACAGGATTCAAAATTCCTGGTGTATCATGAGAACGTCCTTTACGTACTGATCTTCTATTGTTTCTCACTTTAGGTCACTCCTGCCAGAAACCAAACCAATGTGAAACATGCAAGACCACTTTATTCAATATTTGGAGAACACTTTATAAATCACCAAAGTCCTCCCATATATTGTGTTTTTACAAGATCAGATATTGCAGCAATAACACTAGCCTTAGATAAACCTTATTTTTACTTCTTGGAATCTTAGGAATCTGATTCAAATACCAAATGTGGTCAAATATAAAAATAAGGAGATTTGGTATGATTGCCAATGAGACAACTCTCCACCAAAGTTCAAATGAAGTGGATGTAAGCAATTATAGGCAACCGTACAGCCTTCAACAATGAGAAAAACCCATACAATATAAAGGCTATAAAAGGCCCCGACATGACATGTTTATCTTATCATTTCAGGGACCACATATTGCAGCAGTAACGTTGGCAGCTTATGAATGTAAATCTACAAACTTTCCAGAACCACCATATCCCACAGAGTATGTATATATATTGTTAAGTCACCGTGTTGGGTTTACATTTTGGTTGCAAGTAATTCTTATGTACTTCTTAATTTTAGAATATATCTGTGTATTCAGTTAATGCTTTATATTTTTTATTTAAAGTTTCCCAAAAAACTTTATAACTCTTAAAACTTCAGAGCATTTTATAATTGTGTTAAACTTCAATAACCTTTCCATAAAGATACTTTAGTTGAAAGTTTTTTATGCTCCTTTAAGTTTAACCCCCTTCTGTACGTCCCAAAATTGGTTTCCGTTCACTAACTTAAATTTGCCTCAACCAAATCTTATGAAACTAATGCACAATGCTTATTACCACTAAACACAGATCAGGTTTGAATTTCGTAGGCGTCACTTTCACTGATCTTGAGTTATGTCCCTTTTTAAATGGACAAAATGGCAAATTTGCCGTTTCTGCAATCTAACTTTACTTTGCCTCTACAAAATGCTATGAAACTTATATACAATGCTTATAACCACAAAACACAAATCAAATTTTTTTTTTAGCTTTATTACAGTCAATGAGAATTTCTTAATTTGCTTGTATTTCTTTCCCAATTTATTGTATGAAATACTGTTTCTTTAATATTTATTTGTATATTGATAAACAGATTTAAAGTTTTTTAACAGTTTAAACAAAAGATGTTATATATAAGTGTGTATAGATCCCTTTATGCATGCACCAGACTCTATTTAGTAATTTTGAATTTTTAGAATAGTTTGTCCGGAAGGTGTTACAGATGGCAACGCAGTATCATTATGGACGATAATGAATAAAGTCAGACTTGAAGCTATTATGTGGGTATGTCAAACATTTAATCTAAGGTTTTCCCAATGGAAAATTCCTTTTGGAACTACCTCAATAGTTATGATTAGGTCAGATAAATGATCATGGCAGAATTGGAAGATATTTATAATACCACACCATACAAGTAGTGTTATATTTGTCAAAATTTTGTTGTCACATTTTTCAATCAATTTCAAATATAAGTGCAGGTTTACTCTTTATAGTAGACTTTGTCGTTGATGATTAAGTTATCATAAATTTAAGAATATTTGGCAAGGGTATGGGGGATTGCTAAGATTCAATCAGATACTGTAAACCGGCCTTCTTCTGTGGATAATTTTTATTTCACATTTAGCCAGATCTTACCAATTTGGCTGCGATTTGTTTTCATCTATTTTCTAACTCTGGTTGTATATTCATATATAAGAAGATCCAAGTTTGACATATTTGTGACAATTTTTTTTTTGCATAACTTTTTCTACTCTTGAAATTTGAAAAAATAAATCCCTAGTGAAAAATAGTTGGTTTACATTATACATATATATTTTTTTATCTTTCAGGGTGCTGGGACTGCACTAGGAGAACTACCGCCCTATTTTATGGCGAGGGCAGCCAGGCTGTCAGGGGCAGATCTTGATGATGATGAGTTTGAAGAAATTGAAGAACTCATACATGAGAAAAAAGAGCATCCCGAAGAATTAGTAAGTCTTAACAGGTTATGTTCCCAGTGAGATCATTGATGTCTGAAGTAAACATATTAGTGTTAATTGTGGCCTGTTGTTTTTCTGTGGATGCCCTATAGTAAGCACTCAGTTGTTCTGTCTATTGCTTTTGTCTGTGGACATTTCGTGTCCTCCCCAACTCCTGTGAAACCATGTGACTGGATTTCAAAGACTAAGCAGCATTTTAGATGCTTTTTAACACCCTCCTTAAAACTTGAGTTTGTTTTTTTTTTGGGGAGAGTGGGGTATTTATGAATCACCATGTCTGTCCGTTCATTTGTATGTTAGTTACTTTAAACAGTTGTAGATGAGCTTTAAGGAAAATAATCTTTGATCTACGTGTGGAAGAAGAGATAATTGGATTTACCTCCTCAATATAACATAATGTGGTACCGTATTCAGGCATGATTTTTATGCCCCACCTAGGGGCATTATGTTTTTCGGTCTGTGTGTCTGTTGGTCCATCTGTTCGTCCGTCCATCTGTCCCACTTCAGGTTAAAGTTTTTGGTCAAGGTAGTTTTTTATGAAGTTGAAGTCCAATCAACTTGAAACTTAGTACACATGTTCCCTATGATATGATCTTTCTAATTTTAAAGCCAATTTAGAGTTTTGACCCCAATTTCACGGTCCACTGAACATAGAAAATGATAGTGCAAGTGGGGCATCCGTGTACTATGGACACATTCTTGTTGTATACTGTTAAAGAACCTTTATTCATGAGTATCAATTTTCTTGGTTTGAGCAAAGGTTAAATTTTTGTGGGTTCTTAAATTCATGGATTTTAGTTTTCTGAAAAAAATCAAGTGAGGAATTTAAAGCCATCAGAAATGAATATTCTTGAAAATAATCATATGTTGTTTCATAATGATTTGCGGAACATTGCAAAAAGTTGTTTATTTTCACTTACTTGTTCGTCTTTCATTACTGACAACATTCATCAAACTTTTAATAAAATAATTGCTTGTGAAATAAGCTGATTCATCTATGCTTACAAATTGTCTCGATTAACGGAAACTGCAAAGTAAACATTTTAATTGTTACACATGTGTAAGTGATGACACTTATTAACCGAGATCAAATGATCAACAGATTAACGATCATCAAAGATTTTAATTGAGCCATAAACATGTCACTCAAAGAAAATGGTTTCATAAAAAATTGCTACAAATGCATTTTGAAATGTAGAATTAATTCATATGAAATGATAAAGTAAGCCCAATAGGAAATTAATATTTTTTTTTCGTATTAGAATTATGAGGTAATAAAATGAACACTTCATCGCATAACATCACCAAAAGTCTGGCTTTCATCAATCGAGAAAAAAAATTCATGATATTTAAAAATTTAAAAGATATACAGTTTAAGTTATTTTTAAAGATTAAATTGGTAATATCCTGTCTGAAGTTGTATATAAGTTCATAGTGCATTTGTTGATATTTGATGTATTCTTTAGATTACATGTATATGCCCGTAACATACATGGGGATCTTTCTATGTCTTGATATTTCGTTGGACACTTAAATTTGTGGATAAAGCCATCCAGGAAAACTACGAATATAAGTACCTTACAAATAAACAACTTTCACCATACTTTCCTCTATTTTTGTTCTTGGAAGAATATTTTTTTTTCAAATTCTTTAATCATTAACCTAATCCATATTTATATGCGAAAAATAATTCAGATATTTACTGATAAGTATCAAAATATACTGCTTCATTAAAAATTTCTTTCTTTTCATAGCATTGCATAGCGATGTATATTCGACAAGACGTAAGCGGTTATTCATTGGCTGTGTTGTTTCAGACTGCTGCAGTTGTATTGTTATAGCTAAAGGTTCTTCACATGCTAAGTGATGAAAAAATCAAACACTATTTTACTAAAGGCCAACACAGTTTTACTTTCAAAGTCGTATTCTTCTGTGTCATATATTACGTACCAGATTTCTGCACACACTCAAAGAATTTATTTGACATTTACACATACTTTTGATTTCTGGTTAATGACATACACAACTTTTCAATTTAATTTTTTTTATTTCGGCTAAATTTTACCTTGTGCAGTGTTTAGAATCATTTAAAACATTTAAAACTTCTAACTGATGAAGGCAAGAAGGTTTCTCCATGAAAATATCGCGAATGACTGCAAACGACTTGAAATTACCATAGTTTCACTGGAAGTTTTCCCAGATAAGTGTCAAAAGTTTTTCCAGAATTCCTGCGACGAAAAGGGTGTGTGGATTATGTATGAATGCAACATTATGCACATGTTTTACAATAATAGTCTCTTCTACGAATAATACCTCTTTAACAGATAAAAGGACATTTATGAAACTTGACACAGTTGTAGACCATACATGAGGATGTGCATAAAGGAATATAACCTTGATCTAACATTTGAAAGGGGAGATAATATAATTTGTTGTTTGGATGATATCCTTATATGAGTTTGTTATGCCTCCTAGCAGTATATAGTGATTGTGATGTTTATCTGTCTGTCTGTTTGTCTGTTTATTCGTGCCACATTTTCTTTATATTATTAACATTTTAAGCATCTTGCTATCTCGTTAAGATTTTTGCATCTTGTATCTAAACCACCAAATGAATTTCAGTGAAAGTAGTGGGTTCAATAAGGCCCTAAAATGACTCCTTTTTCTAGCTAAAATTTCAAATTAGGATTTATTGACCAATATTACAATGAATCGTAGTTAAAACTTTAGGAATGTTATAGGAAATATGCCTTTTTTTTATACGCCCGTCAAATTTTTGACGGGACGTATTATGTTATACAAATGTCCGGCGTCCGTCCGTCTGTCTGTCCGGCGTAAACATGTCGCACCATAACTTGAGAATGACTTATCCAAATTTCATGAAACTTAACATAGTTGTTTCTTATGATGGTCAAACGATCTGTATACTTTTTGGTGAAAATAAGATTAAAACTTTTTGAGTTACGGGACTTAGTAACTAAAACAGGTGTGTGTTTTTTTTCACATGTCGCGCAGTATCTCAAAACAAATTTATGATTATTGCTTAAAACTTTACACGCTTCTTAGTTATACTAATCTTAAGATCTGTATACTTTTTGGTGATGATTCAAAATTTTATTTTTGAGTTATTGAGTATTTTTGTTAAAAAAGGGGGAGGGGTTTTTCACCTGTCGCGCCGTATCTCAAAAACAGTTTATGATTATTGCTTAAAACTTTACACACTTCTTAGTTATATTAACCTTAAGATCTGTATACTTTTTGGTGATGATTCAAAATTTTATTTTTGAGTTATTGAGTATTTTGTAAAAAAAGGGGGAGGGGTTTTTCACATGTCGCGCCATATCTCAAAAATGATTTATGATTATTGCTTAAAATTTTACACACTTCTTAGTTATATTAATCTAAAGATCTGTATACTTTTTGGTTTTGATTCAAAATTTTTTTTTGAGATATTGATTTTTTTTTTTAAAAGGGGTGTTTTCACATGTCGCGCCGTATCTCAAAAACGATTTATGATTATTGCTTAAAATTTTACACACTTCTTAGTTATATTAATCTAAAGATCTGTATACTTTTTGGTTTTGATTCAAAATTTTATTTTAGAGATATTGAGTTTTTTGTAAAAAAAAAGGAGGGTTTTCGCATGTCACGCCGTATGTCAGAAACTATTTATGCTTATTGCATAAAAATTCACACACAAGACGACGGGCGTATCATGCGCTCATGGCGCAGCTGTTTATTTACATTAACATATTAATGTTCTTTTCATGGCGTCACAAATAGCACACATATTGATTTTCCTCGAAAATGAAAAGAAACAGGTAAATTTCCATTGTTTTTTTGGACTGGAAACATATAGCAAAAACTTTGACAAGAAAGGTCTTTTAATAAATTGTTTATTGTAACATTTTACATATCTGACTTGAATATTAGTTTGTCGAAGCCTGCACTCTATGTTTGGTAGAAATCCAGACCATTTTGTAAATTTTCATCAAAGTCTCTACTTTTGGTCTATTTTGGTTGAAAATATTAAAGTTTTATAAGAAAAGTTACACAAAAAAAGTTCTATTTCACTTTCTTACATGTCTTTTCAACCACTTGAGACATTTTATATCTTCAAACAATGGACTTAATATTTGAATATAACCCATACTGAACTTACTCCTTTACGTAAAATGTTACTTACATAATGATATTGAGCACCTGTTTTATTTTGTGATCCTATAATATTTGGGGTTTTTAATAGTAAAAGACTTGTTATTTTGTCATATTTAGATAAGGTATTTAGGCATCTTGTATCTGCAACTCCTCTTAAACCATTGGCTCTATTTTTACTAAACTCTGACTTTTGCTACTTTGTCTTGTTGGTTTAGTTGATTCATAGTTGTCTAACTTTTCGTCTGTCGTACAAAATTTCAATCCTTGTATCTATGATGAGTTTATTTATACAGTCTGTTTCAGTTATGGTTGTAAGCAAATTTTTTTTTTTTTAAATAATGTATTTGCCAAAGCAAAGTAGAACTACAGTTAAAAAATAATATTATATTTGTCAGGGTGCATTTTAACATGATTAATACATGTATGTGCTGTCTGTATGTTTGTGTTGTATATGAATCTGATGTTATTTCATGTATGTTTTGTTTATTAATATCAGTCGGTTAAAGAGCTCTTAAGAGCTCATGTTCCTTGTTTATTATGTATGTATGAAACCCGACTTTAAATAAAGATTACTTTACTTTACTTTACTTTAAAAGGACACAAACTTGTAGGAAAAAAACCCAAAAACTTTCCCTTTATCTTAAGAATATTAAGGGGAGATGAATGTTTAATATATTCCAGACAATATATATCTCTGTCAACTGTTTTAATCTTATTATTTTTAGGGATTTATGGAAAAATCGAAATTAGCTGTACATAACCTTGTACAGAAAGTGGGATTCTTTGGTATCTTAGCCTGTGCATCTGTAAGTATGAACTGTGATAAACATTACTGTGGTATCAAAGCCTTTGCGTACTAAATAAATGTAACTTTTGTATCTGAAGTTTTGCTTTAGAAAGTATCGGCCTTAAAAAAACATCACTTTGGTATCTGTATATTTGTTTGTGTAATCCTAAGTAGTAACTTGATTAAAATACACAATATGATTTTGGTAAACACATCACAAGTTCTTGAATCAACATCATGTATGCTCATGACCAAAACTGTTGTTATTTTTTTTCACACATATCTTCCTTATGTTAATTTTAAAGTAAGTAATTTATCCATTCATTCTATTCACTATGGTCATTTTTCTTTTGCTTGAGTAAAAGAAGCTAATTGTGCATAAGATGTTGATTGAATTCCTGAATTGGTTGAGAATGAGAATTTCAGTTACTAACATTTATTGATACCAAAATCTGCAAGATATTGCAATGTCCTAGATAGCCCAAGATAGAGGGACGCAGCTCCACTCTTCCCTTTCTGTGTACACCTTTGCCCATATAGCCTTATCCTTTTTTGCTTTTGATGGAAAATAAATACTTTTATTGCAATTGAAAAAAAAACTTCTGATCCAGCAAAAATGCATTCAATTCTTTCAATTTGTTTTATCTATAAACATGATCAAGTTGTCCGTTTTCAGACAAGAAACCTTGCTTCATATTAATCTGTGTCCCTTTGCTCTTAAAAACTGTATAAAAATAAGTTAAATATATGAGCTGCGTGCTGATACTAAGATAATTGAGCACATTAATTAGTAGGAAGATCTTTGTTAATTTTGAAATTATTATTCTTATCTTCAAACATTGAATAGATTAATAGATTTGATATGTATTTTGCTTCATTTTAAAACTTGATTGTCTATGAATGTGTATAAATTCAATTTTGATTGTCTTATTTATAAATTTTCTTTTTTTCACAGATACCAAACCCTTTGTTTGATTTGGCAGGAATCACATGTGGCCATTTTCTCATTCCATTTTGGACATTTTTTGGTGCAACATTAATAGGAAAAGCTGTTATTAAAATGCATATACAGGTAAGTTCTATATTGTATTGTTGGGTAGCTATCTCATGATGTTTGCTACTTCAGTTTATACAGATTCACAGTGTTTATAGGCAAAGCCAGGACTGTGGATTCATTTATTTTTGTGGGTATCAATTTTCGTGGATAGAGAAAAAAAGACGTTTCGTGGTATACGTAAATTCGTGGATCGCTGATTACAAAAAAAAAAAAAAAAAAAAAAAAATTCTGATACGTAATTCGTGGATTTCTTTTTGATTTAGGAGATCATATAACCTCCTTGGTTTGATCAATAATAAAACAAACAAAAAGAAGGAATTCATTGAAAAAGTTTTGAATTGTCAATAACCAATATAGGTTAAAGTGTTCATTGAAAACTTCTATTACAATAATGGACAGAGACAACTAATTATTTGTTTGTTTTACAATTTATAAATTCTTGTCGGAATTATATAAGGCATTCAAAACTCTATGATTGAAAGCTCATTTCCCTATTCATGATATAATAAACAGTCGATCATATAAGTTAAAGGTGTGAAAATAAATGTTCCTATCATAAACAATATTACCTACGGGCAATATCCCCGTACTTAATCCTATTGATTTTTAATCACCAGTAAACCAAACTATGACACGGTAATTAACAACTTGCAGTTATTTTCCATGAACAGTTTTAATCAATTTTAAAAAGTAAATTATCACTGATATTCAATATTTTTATTATTGATTTAATCAAAATACTTGTATCTTCTTTCAATAAAAACACGTGTTATGTTACAATGTTTATCGCTAGTCAACACTATACTAGAACTGCATAACATAACCGGAAATAAACATCCGAATCCATACACATTTCTCTGGATTATTCTTCGTTGAATTCTTAAATTCGTGGTTCGCTGTGACCCACGAAACCCACGAAAATTGATATACCACGAATAAAAATGAATCCACAGTATAAGGTAGAAAACTGTTAGATATTGAAGAGAGGCGAAAGATACCAAAGTGATATTCAAACTCACTAGTCGAAGACAACTTGACAAAGCCATAGAAAAAAAATGAAAAACGACAAGAAGATAAACAGTACACAAAACACAACGAAGAAAACTGAAGACTGAGCAACACAAACCCTACCAAAAACCGGGGGTGATCTCAGTGCTCTGGAAGGGTAAGCAGATCCTGCTCAACATGTGGCACCCCTTGTGATGCTCATGTAAATACAAATCCGGTGATAAGTCTAATTCAGTAGGTCACATTCGAGGAAATTGACAGTTCAGTATTACATCAGCATAGTGATAGCTTGTCTAACTTTAAAGCATGCACACCATGCAAAATAAACCAATGCTGAGGAGAATATAATAAACAAGATGAGCTGGATTTTTTATATGGTAGACTAGTAAGGTCATATTCTGTAGGAGGACTATCAAAGATAAGATCAAAGGAACACACTATTGCTGTTTTTCATCTTTACAGTTGCTGGAAGTGTACAATGAAGTTAAGGTTTCCCTATATACAATTAGACCAAGTCCGCTTCTAATTGATATAAAAATAAAAAGATGTGGTATGATTGCAAATGAGACAACTCTCCACAAGAGAGCATTTCTCATATATTCTGAAGAGCTCAATTATTAAAAACTCATGTAAGTGTTTCGAGCATTCTCTTTTAAATTTAATCACAAATTTTCTAGACTGAAAGTTATTCAAAGCTTGTCATTCATGCATCACCCATAGTCCTAAAAAAATTCCTGTGTTTCCTCTAACCATACCTACCCTGATTTTGAGTGCCTACCCTAAATACTTTTTATACCTCGCCGTAGCGGAGGGGGCATTAAGTTATACCCTTGTCCGTCCGTACGTCATGTACGTCCCAAAGTTGGTTTCCGTTCTCTAACTTTAGTATGCCTCAACCAAATGTTATGAAACTTATACAAAATGCTTCTTACCACAAAACACAGATCAAGTTTGAATTTTGGTGGGGTCACTTTAACCGTTCTAGAGTTATCCCCCTTTACAAATGGAAAAATTGCTGAATTTTTCGTTTCTGTTCTCTAACTTAAGTGTGCCTCAACCAAATGTTATGAAACTTATACACAATACTTATTACCACAAAACTCAGATCAAGTACAAATTTGGGTAGCATCACTTATACCGTTCTTCAGTTATGTCCCTTTATAACTTTATATGATATGCAAGCGGGGGCATCATCTGTGTCCCATGGACACATTCCCCATTTATTTTCAGTCATATTTTATCAAGCACTATTGAAGTGAGACTGTTTCTACTGTTTAAATCAGTCAAAAAGTTTTTGAAAAATAAAATTAATTGCCTACTTACTGCCTTACTTTTTTAAGCCTGTTTAATATCAGAAACACAGATTTTGAGACAAGTAGTCTTAGCTTATACTCCAATATGTTGTATATGTATTAGAAAAGCATCAAATACCAATTTTTAGTCGTTTGTTAGACCTGGTCTGGGATTGAACCCAATGTCTCCTCATTCAAGGCAATCCCTACGAGATGAAGTACCAGTATGCTGTTATATCAAGAGATGAATTTTGAAAAAATTGTCAAAAATTCTTGAATGAATAAACAAAAATTGATCTTTATGCTATCACTGAAGGCAGTACTTGTTTATATTGATAAAAATGCTACTGTAACTTTTTTCTTTTTTTTTCCAGAAATTATTTATTATATTCATGTTTAGTGCACATCATGTGGAAACTATAGTCAAGTTAATAGGGTAAGTGTTAATTATATCCTATTCAAAGGATTGTGAAACATAACTTCCATAAGAGATAAGGAATTTGATATCACAAACATACCATACAGACACTGTAAATTCAGAAATTATCGCATGCTGCATTTATTATTGAGATTTTTGAAGAAATGGATTTCAGGAAACTGCATACAGATGTATGTATCAGATTTCAGAATGTGAGCTTGTATTTTGAAAAATGTAGTTCATATTATTAAAGACCATAAGTATAAGAATAAGAAGGTGTGGTATGATTGCCAATGAGACAACTCTCCAAAAGAGACCAAATGACACAGAAATTAATATCTATAGGTCACTGTACAGCCTTCAACAATGAGCAAAACCCATACTGCATAGTCAGCTATAAAAGGCCCCGAAATGACAAATGTAAAACAATTCAAACGAGAATATAAGAACTGGAATAGAAGGGATTGGTGCAACATGTCCTATGAATGGAAGGCACAACACTATTGCTGTTTTTCACCTTGACAATTACTGGCAAGTTTTCAATAATGAACTGGTGCATCAGTGGTCGATTGGTCTAAGTAGTTCATATACAGTTATCACTAGCCTGTTATCTTTGAGGTTGTGAGTTTGAATCATTCTTCATCAAAGTGCCTTTGACTGCTCTCTTAGTTGACTAGGATTACCACTTTTCCTGCTTAAGGTCATGGTTCTCACATGGTACTTAGGCTTCTTCTACACACACAAAATGGCTGCCATGAAGTTATATGGCATTAAACTTGAAAAATCGATTAATAAATAATGAACTAAAGGGCTTCCACTTTACAGTATGATCAAGACAGCTTCTATCTGCTTTTCATGTTGGGGAGCCTTTTATAGCTTTCTAGACGGTACGGGTTCTTCTCGTTGTTAAAGGTTGTACGGTTGTCTATAATTGCTTACATCCACTTCATTTGAACTTTTGTGGATAGTTGTCTCATTGGCAATCATACCACATCTCCTTATTTTAATATTAAGCATTTATCTTGTATTAAGATGTAAATTATTACTGTAGAACTCGGAGATGACAATTTGTTTGAAGTGAATTTTGTAATACATTGTAATTTTTTTTATTTCAGAAAAATTCCCTCCATAGGTATATCTTTACAGACACCATTTAAAGAATATTTAGAAGTTCAGAAGAAAAAGCTTCATCATAAACCAGGAACTCATGTCAAATCTGTAAGTACACACAAAAAGGGGTAGGGCTGATTAACAGAAAATTTGACAAGTATTTGCTTTCTCAAAAGTCTTACTTCAGCATTTTATAAACATGCAAAGATAGTAAAACAATTCACAACATGAAGCTGATACATTGACTGTAAATATTGGATAGCAGGGGAAAAGTTGCATGTACCCATCACATCATGCTACTCTCTAAATGTTATTTCTGTATATACATTCTATTTTTATAACCCAAACAGTAACCCAACATTACAGAAAACCAAATGACATCTGTAGATGGACATAAAGTCTTCAACAATATAGACTGATGCCATTACAATACTCTGAAGTAGAAAAAACCCATTTGCACTCAATTAAATGAGGATTTTTGACGTATCACTTTAGAAACTATTCTTTGTAATTTCAGGATTCCAATCTGTTGGGATGGATATTTGAGAAAGTTATTATTGTAATGGTTGTATATTTTGTCCTGTCAATCATCAACTCCACAGCCCAGAGCTACCACAAAAGACTGTGTAAAGAAAAACACAAGAAATCTCAATCATAATTGGAGATCTTATGTTTATCAAAAAACAGTGCAAATATTGTTCGTAAAACTGTACTACTGTTTGTGTGTGTAATTGTGAGTTTCCAACCATAGTAGGTTAATTCTTTTATACAATGTAGCACACATCATTTCAGTTGTGTAGTTCATTGATTTGATCTTTTCCTTTACTTTCACTGTAGTTATTATGTTTTTAAGAATGGAAATTCTATTTTCTCATAATTTTCAATTTTATTATTTTTAAGTTATTAGTTTGATTTTGAAATATTATGAAACTTCACTATTAAAAGTTGATAAAAGAATTAATTTATTATGGTATATTTATTGTATTTGAATGTTTGTAATAAGAATTCTGAATAACTTATTTTTAATAGATACAATTGGATATATTAATGGAAAGCTTCACTCTGTTGAAGTTCATTTCAATGAAGAGGATGACAATGCTGTTGTTTTCAGCACAACATTCATAGTAAAAAAACTGTTCTTGAAGTTAATTTTCAATGAAAATAAAAATACTGTAAATTCAGAAATGATCGCAAATAATGCGACTCTGTGAGTATCGCAATAATAAGAACTCGCATTGTGATATCTGATACATATCTTTTTATGTAGTTTTTCCTAAAATTGCAATAATTACACTCGCATTCTAGTTCATTCTTCAGAAATCCCAATGATAAATGCACGCAATAATTTCTGAATTTACAGTAAGGAGATGTGGTATGATTGATGCCAGATTTCAAATAACGTGGATATAAGCAATGATAACTCTCCTAAGATCACATTTTTGTTGTTTCCTAAACCTGAATTAAGACCTAAATATTTATACAGTACATATGCTCTTCCCTTTTGAGGTGAATTAAGTAAATATTTAACAGTTGTTTAATCACACCCTAACACAATAACCCTGTCAGATTTTTTTATACGACCGCAAAAAATTTGTGTTCGTATATTGCTATCACGTCGTCCTCGTCGTCGTCCTCCTCATTTGGTTTCCGGACAATAACTTTAGTTTAAGTGTATGTATCTCTATGAAATTTAACCAAAAGGTTCAATACCACAAAAGAAAAGTTGGGATTGTTTTTTTGGGGTGATGGTCCCAACCGTTTAGGAATTAGGTGCCAAAAAGGGGCCCAAAACAAGAATTTTTCTAGTTTCAGGACAATAACTTGTGTATAAGTATTTTGATTGCTCTGAAATTGTACCACAAGGTTCAGTACCACAAGTAGAAGGTACGGATTCATTTTGGGGGTAATTGCCTAAACCATTCAGGAATTTTTTTTCCTCAAGATTTAAGAAATTATCAATTTTCCATAAAAAAAATTGGGGGTCACAATTTATTTTGCTAATTCTTTGTATATAGTCTGAAAACAGATTTACTAAGTATTGAGCAACAGCACAGTGTATTGCACAACAGCAAGAAATCTTCAATTGAATATAAATTCAAATCATATAACCAATTTCAAGTATCAAATATATAATTACAATCCAAATTCTGACCTGTATCAAGCTTGAATATTGTGTCCATTTTTGCCCCAACTGTTCAGGGTTGGACCTCTGCAGTCGTATCCAGCTGCGCTCGGCGAGGCACATTTTTTTTGGTCTTAATATGTAATTTCAATACTTGTGCAGTTGGGCAATTTATTATAAGCTATAATGCTTTCTGTCATTTAATTGTGTTTTTTCCGCATTATATTGAAAATCTGGGACTGATACTTCAGAATTGAATGCTTCTTTTTGCAAATTTATTAGGTGTAAAGCATCGACTGAAGCCTATTTTGATGTATTGTGTAAATGCTTCATTCTAAAAAATGTGCACAAGACCAAAAACACTTTTGCAACCCTATAAAATTACAAAAGAAATCATTCAATATTTATAATTTCATTTTTATGCTTCAACCATGAAATTATAGGTAAAATAAAGTTTTTTTTGTTTCTCTTTGCATTGTTGTCATAGGTAGCATGTGAATTCATGAAAGTTACATTTTAATGTGAAATAGAATATAATTTTGGAATGCCTTGCCATTGTTGTCTGCAGTTTTCACCAAAATCTTTTCCAACTACTAGTTCAAAGGCCAATATTCCCACAATGTTCTTATGTTTATAAACAAATATTTGCAAATACTTGCTTGTCCAAATAAAATTAACTAGTCTGGGGCAACAGACTAGTGGTTAATGGTGCAGACTCTGTCTGCCAATCAAAATTACAAATTCTTATGAAACATTTATGTAATGTAATTATATATCTATTTGTCCCACTGATAACAAAAGTGATAATAAGACAACATTTGAAATAGTTTATATTTTTATTACTGAAATGGTACGCATTTGTATGCAAAGAACTTGTAGCGACATTCATAGATTTGTTTTTACATTACCCCTACATTCCTTACCTGTATTTGAACTATTTAATAAGGTATACATTACTATGTGTCGTAATTAGTATTTTGTTTCTAGACAATGTTCCTAGGAAGCTTTTTTTTTCTAATCAATACGACTTGTAGATTTAACCATTGTTTCATATTTTATAGATTAGAAGTGATACCATCTTATGAGTCTGAACATTGGGCATTATTGTTAACAGATTTAAAAAAACATATAAACTCTAAAAATACTGTTTTTCAAACACGAAATGAATTTTTTCCTGGATGAATGTTAAAAACACAAAAATCAATCAACCCAAATACGTTGTGAAACATGTAGTACATTATCAAATTTATCCTTGGCATAGTTTTGTTGGTCAGTTTAAAGCAGACTCTTGTATATTCCAAGGGGCCTCGGTGGCCGAGTGGTCTAAGTAGTCGAACTACTGTATCACTAGCTAGTCAACACTGTTTTGAGTTCCAATCCCGCACGTGGCATGTGCACTCGACTCAAATCTTAATTGACTAGGATTGTCTGTTTTCCTACCGAAGGTAGGTGGTTCTCTCTGGCACTCTGGCTTCCTCCACCAATAAAAACTGACCGCCACAAATAGCACAATAGTGTTGAAAGTGGCATTAAACACCAATCAATCAATCAAATTGTATATTCCAAACAACATATATAGCTGCAGAGGGTTTCAGTATAAACAAAGAAATTTAAAGATTGACATATGATTTTGAAACCTTTTTTGCTGGTAATCTCTAAATGTCTATTTTCATAAGCTATTAATGTAATACTCAAAACAAAATGTACAAAAATTTGCATATTTTTTATGTTAATCCTTGTAGTCCATCTGATTCAGTAGGAATTTCTCTGTGATGTTGACCATCATCAGATACTACTATCTGATTCATTAAGAATTTCTCTAACATGTTGACCATCATCAGGTATTACTGTCTGATTCAGTAATGATTTCTCTACTGTTTACCATCATCAGGTATTACAGTCAGATTCATTAAGAATTCCTCTATGATGTTTTCCATCATCAGATATTACTGTCTGATTCAGTAATCAATCTCTCTATTATGTTGACCATCATCTGATATTACTGTCTTGATTCAGTAATCAATCTCTCTATTATGTTGACCATCATCTGATATAACTACTGCAGTGTTGGTACTCCTATTGGTTTTCCATCATCAGATATTACTGTCTGATTCAGTAATCAATCTCTCTATTATGTTGACCATCATCAGATACAACTACTACAGTGTTGGTACTCCTATCAGTCACATAAACATTCCCCACATCATCTGATGTCCCATATCTGTAAAAAAAAAAATCTTTTGTAAGACCATATATATGTACTTGTTAAAGTTTCTAAACAAAAAACTATTAATGTAGAACTGATCTCTACGGTGTACCCATGACACTAATACAAATACCAGGAGCCACTCTATTGCATTTTTATTCTGAAACTCAACAAAAGTAAAAGATGGTGATCCATCGAAGTATCATAAAAAAATAAAACTTCAATGTTGGCAAAGTATGTTTCAAATAAACAACTCATGCATTAATCTGTAGCCTGTAAAACTCTAGCTTTGTATGATAGCAACATGTCATTATATAAGTGTTTGACCAAGTGCAGTAGATGATAGTACCATATAAAGGTCAAACGTTATCTTTTGAAGTTTTCAGTTTGGATTAAAACAATATATTTAGGGATAAAGTTCCTTATATAATTTAATTTTGCTTTCTTTCGACTAAGCTGATTATAAGAAAAGAAAACTTTTAAGTACTGTATATATTCAGAAATTATTGCAAGGTTTTTTATTTATGCGAATAATGCGACTTGGTAATTATTGCAATAATAACTCACGTTCTGATATCTAATATTTATATCTGTATGTAGATATTCCTGAAATGGCAATAATCAATCTTCCATTCTAATGCAACATTGTTTGTAGCGTTCATTTTAATTGGATAACGTCACCAATTTTCATGGCATCAATTCACAATTGATGCTATGAAAACTTACGTGCAAGCGCAGACGACGAATGACAGATTTTAAATGTATGATTTGACGTTGTTTTCTGTCAGTTTCATTAGAATGGAAATAACAATATTGTATTCTAAGCTCCGACAGCATCTATTGGTGATTTGATGGATGCAAATACCCGTTTACTGGCTCCACTAACGAATCGCTAGGAAGCTTAATTTGGGACCATCAAATCACCAATTGATTCCGTTGGAGCTTAAAATAAAATAGTTATCTCCTAATTTTTGTCCATTCTTCAAAAATTAAAATAATAAATGCATGCAATAATATCTGAATTTACAGTACTTGCTGTGACAACTTTTGATGATTGTTATCATTGTTGAACAAATACACAAATCTGTGGTTTTTGGGTAAAGATTGCATGAAATGCAAACAAAACCCTATGGTACTGACTTGATTTCTAAATCTTCCAAGGTTTATCACTACTTTTGAGATTCACAAAATATAGTGCATTGATCATAACATTCTAAACATCCTATTCATGAACATTTCTATAAATTCACCAATGAAATATATGCACAGATATTCAAGTTACAAAATGATGTTATATTTGTCAAGAAAATTACATAACTTGTGCAAGGTACAGTAAACTAATATCTGTTCTAAAAATATCAATGATGTCATTGTTGAAGTAATCTGTAAAATTGGAGTTATCTTCCTTTGTTCATATATACAGGTAATTGTAGTTGAATCAGCTACAACCAATTTGTTTAAAATGCAATGTTTAATTTTACTTCCCACTAAAAAATTACAGTAATCTTTACCCTTCAGTACTTACAAGCACTTTGATTTTATGCAGATTATGAAAAAAACAGTGCTTACTGCACCAATTTCAGATGATATTTTTCATTATTAAACATTTTTTTGTCTTTTTCAATGCTTTGATATAAGCACATGTCAAAAAAATGTTGGACATAGAACATATTCAATATATAAATGTATAGTTTCGTATAGATATTTTATTTTTGTAAATATTGATGTATTTATTTCTAGTCTCAGTGCTTAATTTGATCATGTGCAATTTTGAAAAAAAAATATGTCTATCCAATATGTTAGTTAAACATTTTTGTTTCAGAAGTCAAACTAGGTAAAATTCTAAAAGGGTACGCATTTTGATACTGTTCCTAGATACTCAATCTGGCTATCTGTTAAACAAATTTCATGTAAGAGATGCATACATGTGACAAGTATATTTACTGATACTGTGGATTCATTATCATTCGTTGGATACCAATTTTCGTGGATTTCGTAGTTACCCGAGAACCACGAATTCCAATGTCCAACGATTAGCAAATTTTGTTTAGGAATCAAATATCCACGAAAATGCAAGTTTTCCTCGATCCACGAAAATTGGTACCCACGAAAATAAATGAATCCACAGTAGTCTAATAAATGTCAAAGGGTAATGACAATTTTTAAAAAGCAGTATGTGTACAAGATGTATTAATTTGATTTGATTAAAGAAACTAAATAGTCTTACAGTTAAAATAATAAAGCATGCAAATCAAGAGTTTAAATGCCTTGCTTGCAAACTTTGTTTGGTTATTTGCTCAGACATTGTAATTAAGATTGACACCTAAATTCAATGGGTAGGCGGAGTAACAGTCTGTTTACTATAGCTCTCTATACAAATAATTGGCCTACCCATTGAATTTAGGTGTCAATCTTAATTACAACATCTGAGCAAATAACCAAACAAAGTTTGCAAGCAAGGCATTTAAACTCTTGATTTGCATGCTTTATTATTTCAACTGTAATGTCTAAATGATCTCATGATTTATTTTAGTAAAACAAGTTTGAAATTTGCCTACACATTAAATTGGCATTACTTGATGTTTGTAAACAAAATCTCTTGTAATTCTACAAATTTATGTTTCCATGTACAGTGGGGAGCAAGACATACTTCATTCTATTTTTTTATTTCATTTTTGAGGTGCTGTCTCTTGACTTATACCCCACACATTCTTTTGTTCATACATGAATAGTTTATGCTTTAAACATCATGGCCCCATATACATCTTCAAACCACTTCCCCTGTTTTAACACTTTAATTATGAAGGACACCTTTACAATCAGAATTGAACATAATATAGTTAGTTCACTATTTTTGTTGTATAGTGGTCAGACCAATTCCCAACAATTTATTTCACACCAATGCCATTTCTAAAAGTCCAATCTTATTAATTTCAAATTATCATAGATGCATATTCATACTTTAAGGTTTTAACAATATTTTATGTGCATTTCCAAATATGCCACCAAATTATACATGTTAATAATGACTTTTAAAACTGAAATTTAATATATGTTGGCACCATTTGATTAATTATCCATATTCTGTATGTTGTCGCATGTTTTGGTTGAAGATGTCCTTTGATCGAAAATTTTCTTCAATATCTAAATATAATGCATAGAAACATTGAACAAATGTAAAATTGATGGTAATATTTTTTAAATTATGTTATTTAGACTTCTTAAAATTGGAATTTCATTAGAGTTTAACAACACACTGATTTTGACCCTGTAAGTGACCCCACCCCCTTTAATTTGAACTAAACTGTATAAATAACAAAATCATCAGCAAATTATATCCCTATTAAAATTGCTTGTAAATCTGTAAAAAAAGATGCTTTTTTGATTTTGGTTTAGGTATTAATAAATATTTCACTACACATAAAAAACAACTATAACTTTTTTTATTCTTTGAATTTATGAACATGAGTTTCTAGTTGATACTGTTTTGATTTAAAAGATATGAGGACAGAAATGTGGAAATTCTGCTACATTTTTAAAATGAGTCGAAATTAAAACTTTTTCCTTTAATTCTCAGACAGTTATTTTTTTTTGTACACTGGGAAGAGATTATTTTTCTTTTAAAAAATAGATACTGCATTATATTTGACAGTTGTGATTAATGATATAAAGTTTGCCTACATCTTGCCTACATCTTGCTTATGAAGTTACATTCAAATTAATAAAAAGTTAAAAATGGGCATGTATACATATATATAGTTAAAAGACATTTATCTCACAAGGTTTTTAAACCTTATCACATCACATTTTTATCATAAAAAGCTGTAAGTTTGTTCATTTTTTTCAGAATTCAAGACTATTAATACAGAAATTATTGTGTGCATTTATTATTGCCATTTTTTAAGAAGG